AAGGGAGATGCAAGCACAGGGTCAAGCAGCTGGGAGAGTGAGAGCTGAACACTCAGAGAGCTAGTTCTTTCCCGGGAGCCACAGGCCAGGACCGCTGTGCTTGCGGACCAGATCCTGTATCTACGGGACCCAGAAATTGCTCGCTCACTGGAGAAACTAGCCTGATGATGAACAGTTTGCTGGTTTGCTTTGAACCTGGTGTGGGGATCTGAGAAGGAGTAACATGCACTTGGCTTTCATCCATTGAGTTGGATGATGGATCTCAGGTACTCAGCAGTTGGGCTCAAGATCCATGATCAAGTTAGGTGTGGAAAACACCCTAATAGGTCTCAAGATCTTGGTGGAGAAAAGGCCCCTAAGTGGGTCTGCAGCACAGGAGATGTTCCCAGCCCATCTCTGCTTTCCCCCTTTTCCCAATCCCATTTTATCTACACCCTGTGTGGCACCAAGACAGTCGTTTCTGCAAGCGCCTGTGTGTTGGAGTGAGAGGGAAGATGGGCTGCCTGCAAAGAGGAAGTTCAATGGAGGAGGGAGCCAGAGATGCGGGTGAACAGGTGTTGTGGCAAGGGACACATACAACCCCAGATGCCCCCGGTCTCCAGGGCTAACCACCTGATCACTTGGTGGAGCAGGGGGGGACCTCCAGAGACTCCATTTTCTAGCTGATGATTAGAAAGTATGCGGGTGCAGTGAACGATCTGAGTGGGGGTGGCCGGGCCTGGAGTGCATCCCTTGGTGTAGAGAGAGAGGAAGGCTGGCCCTGTCTCAGCCCTGTGGGATGTGGCCAAAGGTATGAAGACCCAGTAGCTGCTCACCTCTGCCTGGGGAGGAAACTCACATTCCTGCCAAGGCCAGGTCAGATGGAAAGGCTTAAGCTCACTCCAGCAGTGATGGGATGACCAATCTAATGATGTTCCCAGCTGGCCCCTTGTGTGCCCTCTGGGGGAGGCCCTGTCCCTTTTTCTCCTCTGCACCGGCTGAGCCAAGGACCACATCCCCTTAGAGTTGTCCAATGAAAGGGGGAACCTGCAGAGGCTAGGGGGCTGAGTGTGCTGGGCTTCCTGGTCATGAGAAAGGTGGCCTCCATATCCCTCGGGAGTGGGGGTTGAACCTGAGCCTCCTGCACGTTGGAGGAGATCTATTTATAGGGAGTAAGGATTTCTGGCACTTGTGGATGGGCTGGAGCCTGGTGGGGCAGGCAGGGGGCTGGTGCAGTGGGAAGAGAAGCCACGTTCCTCATGACCTGGAGGCCGGGCCTGTCTCGCCACCTCTCTGTGCCTGGTTCCCATCCAGACCAATCAGCCTCCTTTGCAGGAGGTGGGTTTAAGGTTATTTACAAGGGCCCGCAGCAAAGCAAGGTCAAAGCACAGTGTCCCTTCTTCCCTTTTGTCTCACCCAGTGGCCATCTCTTTGATGACATCTTTGGGACAATAGGTCCCTGGCTCTGGGGAGCTGCCAGGAAGGGCAGGATGCTGTGGCTGAGGGTTCTCTGCAGTTGGTGGCATCTCTGACTCCCAACAGCCCCAGTGACTCAGAAGCACCCATGGTGCTATTTCCCCACATGTGTCAGCATGACCTCACAAGTGCTTCCCAAAGGGCCACTGGTTGGCACATCCATGGGGTGTTGGTTTCCTCCAGTGGGCAGAAAGAAATGCCTGGCTCAGATTGGCAGGAGGCAAAGGGTCTGACACCTCTGAGTGACCTTGGAGAAGTCTCTGCCTTTGGGCTTCTGCTGATGCCTCCCAAGTAGAAGATGCCCAAGCCCCTTGCAGCTCTAGCATGCTCACCTCTATGAGGTGGGATCCCTAGCTGCTGGGAAGGGATGGAGGGGGGTGTCTCTGGCCCTGAAGACTATCAGAGACAGTCTTCCCCAAATGCTGCCAGAAGTGCCACTGTTCTGCCTGTAATTCAGGGACTCCAGGAAATGGCTCTGGGATCTTTGGTGATGTGAAGGTCATGGAGAAGTGGAGGTCAAGGACTAGACACATGCTCCTTCCAGCCGGAGTCCTGGGAAACCACACACATTCCCCGGGGTTCCAGAAGTGGAGGAGGCCTTCCTTTGCCATGCGTGGAGCTGCCTAGTTGCTATGGCCCCAGCACCAACAAACAGGAAAGTTGAGAGGAGGCCCCCTCCCTTACCGGAAAGTGCCAAACCATAACTTGTACCACTCACTTCCTCCTGAATCATCTGGGGTTTAGAAGATCATTGAAAAAGGAAAGCAAGCCAGCCCCAAGGTGTGAAGCTTCTCAATCTGCCCCACCCGAGCTTGCTCGCCCCTGTGTCCCTCAGTGCCATGGCCCATGGCTCTCAGTAGACAAGAAACGTGCTGTCTTTGTCACACCTGTGTACAGTTCCTTTCGTGCTCATTCATCCCTGTCCAGGCACCACGTCCAGACCCAAAAGGGTTCTGAGCATGAGATCTGGTTTCACACTGCTCAAGACCCTTCCTCCCCGTGCACTGGCTCAGCCCCCACATGGTTTGGCGGCTGGCGCAGCAGAAAGAGGCACAAGGAACTGGACCTCGGGTTTGCAGGGGAGCCTCCAGCAGGCTGCTTTCGAGGTAGGAACGCACTGCAGCTGGAACACCCTCAATGTCATTGAGGCCGGGCATGGGCTTGGAGAGTGTGCCCCATGGACAGGACCTGGGTAGCCAATGCACTCTGGGCACCCCGTCATGACAGCTCAGGGGTAGGAGCCCAGGAACCACATTCGAGCCTGGGCTCTGCAGGGAGATCCACACACCAAGCAACAATCGAGAGGGCAGACCCGACTCTTCACAGTCCCCAGACCCTGCGACGTGGGGCCTGAATGAGGTCCTGTTTTGCAGAGCAGGGGCTTGCTGTTGGCATTGAAAGGCGGATAGCATTTTTGAGGGGGAGGAGAAGTTGCAGAGAAAGGAGAAATCCTGAAACGACAGACAGTGGGACAGCTGTGGCCTGAACTTGGTGTTCCTGTGCCTCGGATGTGGATGTATTAATTTCCATAAATGCTAATAGCCCATTTCCCCAAGAGCTATTACTTATGTCATCTCCCCTTGGATGCGTTTCAACACAGGGCAGACAAATGAAAAAGGAAAGGACTGCCCCCACCGGTGGGTTTCCCGCTCCCCAACCCTGACCCCACCAGGTAACTCAAGACTGTTCCCTAATGTGGCCCCTCTAATTCAGGGTCAAGACCCCCTGCCTTCAGCCCACAACCAGGTCCCTATCATGCCAGGAGGCAAAGAAAGTTATCACCCCAAAAATGCTGAATCACAAAGTAAGCTGAGCAGGAAAGTGGGGGTGGGGTGGGGAGGGACATCATGGCCAGGGAGGAAGGCAGGACACTAAGGGACGTCTCACCTGGAGACCCCCTGAGGCTGCTCTAGACAAAGTGTAGACCCCAAAGGAGCCCTTGAACAAATGCCAGGGTGAGCAGAGCCAGGGTAGGCTGCCTGGGTGACAGGGTGGAAAGGTGGGCAGGTACAGGACAGCCACTGCAGCAGGATGCGGTGCAGCAGCTGGGGCTCGGTGTCCTGCGTCCTGCGGGAGCAGCAGCAGGTAGGGGAGGTGGGGAGCTAAGAGAAGCTGAAGATGGGGTAGGGGCAGAAGGACCCGGGTGGGGTGCTATGTGTAGGTAGCCAGATGAACTGGTGCAGGAGGGGAATGCCAAGGTCCTGGGGAGCAGGGCAAGGTAGAGAGAGGGCGCCCACGGGGAAACGTAGGGATTGGGAGCAGAGTGGGTGGGAAGATGGGGCTAGGGACCTGAAAGGAGAGGCAGGATGAGCCTTTGGGAGAGAGATGGGGAGGACTAGGACCAGGAGCGCTCCGATGGGGGGTGCGCTGAGGCTGGGAGAGGGAATGGAAAGAGGGATGGGGGAGGGGGAGGCGAAGCTGCGGGAAAAGGAGGGGTCAGGGAGGGATGAAGTTGGGGCAGGGGTCGGGATGGGAGCTAAAAGGTCGGGCAGGCCGGCAGACAGGGCAGGGAAAGGAGGGCGGAATGGGGGAAGGGATATGATGGAGAAGGAGGTGAGCCGGCAGGAGAGGAGGTGAGGATGGAGGCGGGTGCGGGAACGCGCTGGGGACAAGGAGATGGAGAGTCAGCGCGGGCCTCGCGATGCCCGCCACCGCTCTCCCGGCGCACTGCAGAGGACTGCGCGGACGACTGGGGTCTCCCCCTGCACTCACCTGGGGGCTCCAGCTCCGGATCCTCTATCCCGCTCCGGATCTTCCTTCCCGCCCAGCCCCTGCGACTTTAGCGCCCCCGAATCCCGCTAGCTCCACCGGGTTCCGCCCGCAGCATCTTCACCTCGTGGGACGCCCGGGGCCACTCCTCTTCTAGATTCTCATTGGCTGTTCTTCACGCCAGTCACACTCTTATTGGCTGAGAGATCGCCTACCATGCAAATTAGGACGGGCCCGCCGCCGCGCCGATTGGCTGGCGCTGCTGAGCGGAGATCCTGGAGTTGGGCTCTGATTGGTCCCTGCTTCCAGCTGACGCGGATGACGGAGAGCCGGTTCTTCCCCTACCAAGACTCCTACGGCTGGTGGTAGCGGATCGGGCGCCCCTTGGCCGGTCCTTAGCCCGCAGGGTCTGCGGCTCCGGTGGGCACCGGCCAGCGCCGGGCCTCTGGATCCGTCGTAGAGGCACTTCCTCAGAAACCTGGGGCTCGACGCCCGGGGGCGGGTGCGGCTGCTGTGGCGCGTCTCCTAGGTAACGCTGCCCGCCACGGGCGGAACCACGTTGGCTGGCGCCGCGGGGGAGGTTGGACTCAGTCCAGAGGCTCAGGGGCCACCGAGCGGCCCGAGGCCTTGGTCCCGGAGTGTGTGTGGGGTGCTCCCTCCTACTTTTCTGGGGGCCCGGGGCCTGAGGGGCGCGGCAACCGGCGAGCGCGGGGCTGTGCCTGGGTCGGTCGCATTTTCCTCCCCCCCCTCCTTGACTTTTGGTGTGGCCCGGGCCGCCGGGTCCTGTAGGGTTTCTGGGGCTTCTTGGGGCTCAACTTTTGCACTTTCCTCCTAGACCCCGCACCCGCTGGCAGCGCTTCAGCTTCCGGCGACCGCGGTGCCGCCGGCTTGGGCTTTGCTGAGACCGCGGCATTGACCCTCCCCTTTTCCCGTTCGGACCCCTGCTGGGGCCCCCTGCTTTGCCTGTCCCTTCTGGGTACCTGTCCCCTGCTGGTCCTGCCGATCCGACGCCGCGCCAATGCCCAGTGGAGATCTGGAGACTCCCTGACCCTCGCGGGATTCCCTGCTCCGAAGGTCCCGCCTGCCTAAGGCCTACCCTGGAGTTGCTCCCGCCTTCCCCTCCGCTGTCCAGCCCGCCGACTTCCTGACCGCCTCCGGGCTCCCCACTTGGGCCCTTGTGCCCTTGAGACCCCCAGTGCTCGGTGTCCTGCTGTCTTCTTCAGACCTTTGCACATTTCTTTCCATGTCTGTCTCTATAGAAGACAAATGCCTTCGCAGCCCTGGCCCTGCCTTCTCTTTCGCACTGTGTCATTTTGACTGAAGCACAGGTCGGAAGTCTCACAAGATTGTGTAGTTGGAAAAGGTGTACTTTAGATGATTGTGCCTAGTCGCCGCCAGTTTCAAGCCGGGTCTCCATCACGGCTCCCTGCACTCTCCTCTCCTCTGTGACTTTCATAGGTCACAACCACCTCCTTTGTGTACTAACTTGTATCCTGTCTTTACCTCCCTTCAGAAACATTCCTGGAGGGCAAGAAGGTTGTCTGCAGTGTTCTCCAGGGCCTGGCACTCGGTAGGTACTCAAAGAATACTCCTTGAAAGAGGAATTCCAGGCAGGGCTTAATTAGACTTCTGCTTACTCTCGAAAATAAAGGCTGGGTGGGGGGGAGGGGGGCGTTGCTTCCCAAGTGGGGCAGTTGCTAAAGAATCTGCCTGCCAATGCAGGAGATATGGGTTTGACCCCAGAGTTGGGTAGATTCCCTGGAGTCGGAAATGGCAACCCACTCAGTATTCTTGCCTGGGAAATCTCATGGGCATAGGAGCCTGGCGGGCTACAGTCCATGGGGTCACAAAGAGTTGGACACTACTGACCACACACACACACACACACACACATGCACTTGGTGTCTACTCTCAAAAAAGCTCCTAAGCTTTCGAGGTTCAGGCAGGCCAGATCTCTTTCGTGTCTGGGAGGGAAGCTTCCTTGTGCCCCGGAAATTCCTTGTGGCTCCTGTCGCTCCCTTTCCTTGGTGAACCACTGCTGATGAGACCTCAGCCCAGCTGACCTCTTCAGTGCCTGGGTCCCTCCTCTTCTCCATCCCCCAACCTTGCCCAGAAAAAGGAGACTGGGTTAGGCTTGTCTTCTGTGCGCTGCTCAGGATTGCCCCCTAGTCTTTTCCCCACTGGATATTTAGATTCTTGAAGACAGGGTATTTGACAGTCCGCTTCACCGTACTAGGACAGAACAGGTGCTTGGTGAATATTTGTAGATCAGGTAGATCTTTGCAGAAGCAAAGATCTCCAGAGAGCTTCAGAGGCCCCCCCTCCTTTTGTAGGTGGGAGATAGATGCTGGGAGGGCAAGAGACTTTGCAAAAGTCAGAGAGGAGAGTAAGGATCATCCCAGGCTCCTCGACCTCTTTGCTCTCACTTTGCCCTTGAGGGCTTCTCTTGCCCTTGGTGGGCAGAGGGGCCGGCATAGGTTATAATGGCTTTGAAGTTTGTACGACTGACTATATGGTTTCAGGCTGGCTGTTTAACCTCAGGATCTCACTTTTCACATCTGTAAGAAGGGGACAGTAGTGGTACTTATCTTCCAGAGTTATTGCAATAGCAAATATGAAAATGTGAGTGCCTGGCTTATGATAAGGACTCAATAAAAGTTGGTGCCTTTTCTTCCCCCTTCCTCTGGAGAGCCCCTTGTATGCTTTTCTTGGGCTCAAAGCATGGGGCCCTCCTAGTTTTCTCTTTATGGTTCATCCGGCCCCAAAGGCCCCTCTGCCTTCCTCTGCAGCTTTCTTCATTCCTCTCCAGCATAACTGAGTGATTGACTTAATCATTAGAAAGGTTTACACTGAGGACCTAGTCCTGACCTCATGGAGCTCAGTCCTGCAGGATGACAGTGACCATGTAGCCTGGGGAAGCTGGGTGACTTTTCTGTGATAGGGTCCCGTGCGAGGGGGGGTATGTGGGTGGGGGTGCTTTCCTGGGGAGGTGGCACAGAGGAAGACTCATCCAGGGATGCATGTGCCTGTTGAGGGGGATAGAGGGCATGCTGAATGGGAGGAACTGAAGCAAGGGCAGGATGGAGTGTACAGGAGTGTGGGCTGGGTGAGAGATGTTTGGGGCACTGGGTGGGGGGTGGGGCAGGAGGGGAAGAGCTCTGTGTGTAACAGAGCCCCAGGGACCATCCAGGCTCCTACTCCCAGGAGCCTGTGTCTTAGGGGTCACCTCTCCCTCCATCACCCACTGCAGTAGTTGCTCCATCTCCACCACCTGCCTCCACCTGCCTGGCTCAGAGCTTTGATCTTGGGAGACCTGCCTTTTGTCCCAGCGCGTCTCCTGCAGTGCCATCCTGTCATCACAACTGGTCCTGCCAAATGTGGCATTGGGTCCCCTCGTCACCCAGGGAAGTCAGGGGATGTACTAGGTTACAGATCTGGGGCGAGGGAGCAACATCTGGAGCCAGCTACAAAGGGGGCGCTGTCCTGGAGCCAGGAAACCCCGCCGTTGGGGGCTCCTTCCGTAGGGTGTTTCCCTACATGTGCTTCTGAGGCCGAAAGGGCTTTGCTGTGGAGTTACCTCCCAGCCTGTGAAGGCTCTCACTTTGCAGGAATAAACCTCTCAATTTTATAACTAATGTCAATGACGAAACATCTCCCTGAAAAAGAGAAAAACTGGGGAGACAAGTTTATTGAAACTTCAGTTTCAGGGCTGAATTAATTGAGCTCTGATGGTAAGTGCAGTATCGAGGCCCCAGGAGAGTAGGTTTCCTTCTGCCAGCAGTGGGCCAGGGAGCAGGTATGTGCTGATATGTGCAGCTGATATGTGCTCTGACCAAAAGCACAGAAGCCTGCTGGGTGCAGAAGCACAGAGGAGCTGGCCCTGGGAGATAGCCTGTCCAGAGGGCACCGTGGCTGGGGTCCCAGTGAAGACACACACAGTGTATGTCATCTCTGAGACCAGCCCCGAAGCCCTCAGGCCAGAACTGGGGAGGGTAGTTCCGCAAAACAAGGGGTATTGAGCAGACAAACATAACCCACAAAGGAAAAAACCCCACATAAACCGGCGTGTGTGCCTTACTGTTCATACAGTAACAATCTGGATCTGAAGGCCCAAGGAGATGTGTGCAGGGTCGGGGTGGTGTTCCAATGGGGGCTGGACCCCACGCTGAGGCCAACTGGGTATGGGAGAGCATCTCAGGGGGGCCAGCCGCATTCATACCTCCAGGACCCCCCTGCATTCCCAGCACAGCCTGTGAGTGTAGAGGGTGGGCCGGCTACCTGAAGCCCTGCATTTCGAGTCCCTTGAGAGCAACCTTTCTCCAGCTTTTTAGTGTCACGCTGCTTTATGCTTTAAAAAATGATTGAGGACTCCAAATAACTTCCTAAAATGTGAGTGATGCCTAACAACATTCATTGTTGAGAATGTTGACAGTGTTATTAATTCATTTAAAAACAGTAGACCTGTTACGTGTTAACATAAGAATATATTTTTTTAATGAAAGCCAGCCATGTTTTCTGAAACAAAAACATTAGCAAGAAGAGTGGGGTTGTTTTGTGTGTTTGTTTGTTTTTGAAATATTTATTTGGCTGTGCCAGGTCTTCGTTGCAGCATGTAGGGTCTTTAGTTGCAGCATGTGGGATCTAGTTCCCTGACCAGGGATTGAACCTGTACCCCCGGCATCAGGAGCACAGAGTCTTAGCCACTGGACCAGCAGGGAAGACCCTTTTTTGGGTTTTGCTTTGTTTTTTTTTTTGCATGATTGTGAATCCCTTTAACGTCTGGCCCACAGACTGCTGGGCACTGCTTCACTGGTACAGCTTCTCTGTTGAGTCTGTTGTGTTGAGTCATTTTGCTTGAAGGATTTGAAAGAGATGCAGATGGGCAGGGGGGAGCCCTTAGAGAACTGCTTCTATGCTGTACCCAAACTCACAAGCGATCCATTCCTTAAGGGTTTCTTGCAAGCAGAGTTTGACACCCTGTCTGAAAACTTTCACACTGTTACATTAAATCCTCTGGTTTGCTTCGCACTTTGGGTGGATCGTTCCCCCACGCAAGACTTTACATCATTGTGCTTGTTCTTTCGGACAATAACTGCTTCTGAGTTAGGCCGATCTTCCAAATATTGACACATCTACTCACACAATTTCAAAAGCTCACTTTTCGTTACCAGCACTACCCATCTTGTCAGGAAAGTCTTCAAGAGTTATGAAGCTGTCAGGCTCACAGTGGAGGGCCCAGATTTTCCCAATTCTGAATTTTGCCCGAAAGCTCAGTTTTTATGAGTTTACCTTGAAGTGACAGGTTCATTTTGTTCAGACTGTGTTTGAAGCTTCCACTTCTGAATCACCATTGTTTGTCTCTGAGCCATTCTTTTAGTAAGAATGGTGTTGCTGAGTGCAGGAAGGAGGCAGTTCAACTCGCAGCCCAGCAGCGATCATGCCCGTCTTACCCTGGGGTGACCCTGGCCCTTCATTTGGCAGCAGAAATGCTTTTTGTGCTCTACCCCCTTTTATCATGGAATGTTAAAAGCACGCATCCTCAAGGGTCAAGTCAAGATGTAATAAAATCCATAGTGTGCACAGCCTCCCCAGGGACCATATTAAGCAAAGCTGCTGGACTGTGTGCTGTGAGGGGCGAAGAGCACAGGGTGGCTGTGGGCTTTGGTTGCCTCTGTCTCGGGAGGTGATGAGGCCCTAGTAGCTTCACCCACCATTGCCTTGGCACTATCAGCACAAATGCCAACCCAGTGAAAGACTCAGATGGCATCTGGAGGTTATGAAAATAGCTCTAGGCCTCTGGAGCCCTTGACCACCTCTAGGAACCTCGGGGGTTTGTGGACTGCATTTAGAGACCTGCTGTCTTAGAAGATCAAATCCACTGCTCTTTCTCCTTGCTGGCCATTTTGGTAGAATTCGGCCTCTTATCAAGGCCAAGGGCTTAAGATTCTGCTTCAGCTGAAGACAGTCTCGAGAAGGTTCAGATCCTCCTCTGCCGGAAGGCAGATAAAATCTTGATTGAACCTCATCGCCAAGACACCCCGAACACCCAGTCTGTCCCCGCTTGGCTCCACCAGTAGGACTGTCTATGGCTCAGCTGTCCTGGGTGCTGGACTCCAGGGTCCCCTTGAGCCAGGGCTCGTGGTGACATCTGGACCGCTGGCCTTGCTCTCACGCTGCCTGCCTTTTTGTATGTGTCTCAAGGTGGCCACTCCTGTGGTGTCCCCCCTTGCAAGCTCTGAGCTGATGGCCTCTCTGCTCTGAAGGTCCCAGAGAAGAATGTTCTTGCAACAGAACCAACAGAAGCTCTGAGCTCACATCTTATTGGCTCTGAGTGGGTCATGCCCCCCAGGCCCCTCTAAGCGCCCCAGTTCCCAAGGCCTGGTGCCCTTGTGCAGGGCTCCACCTCCATAGCTGGACAGAGCACGTGGCCGTCCCTAAACCAGTCACTGAGGCCGGGGTAGGCGTGCTCTGATTGGCCAGGGGAAGGCGGCATGGATGCCAGTCCTTGGCTGCAGTGGGGGTTGGGGAGGTCGCAGAATATAGGTCGCAGGGATGGTGGTTCCCCTGGTATTAGTGGGAGGTTCTCTAAGCACTGGGGCCCTCATAACTCTATTATTTATTTGAATGCCAGTGGTGCAGGTAATCCCAGAGGCCCCAGGGACCTGGGGGCCAGCAGAATGCATGACTGGCGCAGGATCTTTGACCAAAACCTGCTGGTCCCTCCGCACCCACAGAGAACACGCCAGCCTGCGAAGGAATCGACAGCGTTTCACTGTGTCCTGAAGTGGCTCGATGGCCCGCAAATTAAGCAGGTAAAGAAACCGACTCTTTACTGTCACATGCATGCTGTCACTGCTCTCAGCCAATACAATATCGATTTTCATGTGTTTATCTGAGTCTTTCACTGCGCCCATCACCCCAGGTGGTAGCAGCATTTGGAGGCAAAGTGGCCCATCAGCAAAGAGGGTATGTGATTCAGCGACTCAGTCAGCACTTTTGACCCTGACTCAAGGCTTCTTGCTGCCTACAGTGGAGCAATCCAAAAACTCGGATAATTTGATTTCCTGAGTTATTTCTTGGCCAGGTTGTTTGCAAGGGCTGGCCTTGTGCGTGGCTCAGCACGGCCTGGGGGTTAGAACTGCAGGGGTGAAGCTCTGGGCATCCTGGGAGATGTGAGGTGGAGGTATTACCGCCTTTGCACGCTCAGGCCCTCGCTCTGGGGCGCTGTGTCCATCTCTGCCGTCAGCTGGCAGGGAACCTGCTGGAGAAGCTGGTGTCTCTGTGCCTCCACAGAACACCCACAGGATTGTACAGTCCTGGGTAGGCCCAGGTCCTGGGGGAATGCACAGGAAGGATCCAGGCCTGCCACTGTGAGCACGCAGCTTGTAGGGTTTGGCTTGGTGAGACAGTATCTTCTTCCTCTGTAGTTGGCAGAGCAATTCTCCTTGCATTCAGAGTTGTCTGAGCACTAGGTATGAGAATAACCTAATGTTAAATCGCTCACATCCTACATCATCACTTCAAACCCTGTGATTGAGCACCTGCTGTGTGTTTGCTACCGTGGAGATACTGCAGTGATTACTGCTGTTACAGCTTTACTTGTTTTATTTTTTGACCACACTGCATGCCATATAGGATCCTCATTCCCCAGCCAGGGATCGAACCCCTTCCCACTGCATTGGAAGTGCAGAGGCTTAACCACTGGACTGCCAGGGACGTCCCCAACAACTTTACTTCTTAGCGCTTTACTTGTGTTGGTTCACTTCATCTTCACGACAGCCCTACGAAGTAGGTAGCATTATTATCTCCATTTTACAGAAGAGGAAGCAACATGAGAGACATGGAGTCAGATGCCTAGGGTAACACAGATCCAGCTGGCCAGCTGGGACTCCAAGCTAGGGAGACTGGCTCCAACAGCCCTGCCACCAGGGGCTCATGAGATAGTAGACAGGAGTTGCCTCTTTCCTAGGAATTGTACAAAGGAAATTTCTTTTATTTTTCTATTTTACTTTATTAATGCATTTTAACTTGTTTTCGAAAAGGTAATTCCCATAGTTCAAAATACAAGAGGGCACACAGATAAGTATATTGTCCTATGGCTGTCTCATCCTGGATATAGCCGGTATTAACCTGTTTTCTGTACAACCTTTCAGACATTCTAAGCAACCACAACAAATCAATATGCTTGTATGTTTCTCTCTTTTTTTGGCATGAATGGTCGCTTTTTGCTATATTCTATATCTTAATATTCTTAACAGTATGTATTATACATTGGTAAATGTGGGTCATTTTTACTTCTTTCCCAAAGATAAAGTCAATACTTTCATGAAAGTCGCATAATTGGGTTTCTTCAGGGATTTATGGGACAGAAAGGATCAAAATGAGACTCTTTGAAAAACAAAATAAACAAAAACCAATAACTCCCCCCTCCCCCACATATATGTTATAGAGTGTTCATGTCATTTCATAAAGAATTTCTTCTTCCTTAAGACAGCATAGCTTTTCTGTATGAATGACCTGTCATCCATTCATTAGGTCCTTCCTTAAAATGACCACTTGTTCTGACTCCAGGTGTTTGCTTTTATAGACATTATGATAATGGATAATGGCACTGAAATAATTTTTTAAAATGTACACTGTCTGTAGAATAGAGTCATACAGTAAAAGCTAACATTTAAAACCCACTTCTAAGTTGTTCATAAAAAAATCACAGTTTAAACATGAAGACATTAAATATATGTCTTCAAACCATATGTATGAAAGGAAAAGAATGGAAAAAAAGATACCCATGTAAACTCTAAGCATTAGAAAGCTTTGTGGCTGTGCTAATTTCAGACAAAGTAGAGTTCAAGGTGAGGCGTATCACCAGAGATAAAGGGACGTCTCATACTGACAGTGACAGGAAGACATGACGGACCTAAATGTGTGTGCATCTGTGATGGGAGCCCCCAAAGTCACCCTCAGGTTTGGTGATGGACTAGGAGGACTTGACGTGACTCAGCACATAGTCATCTTCAAAGGAAAGAGTTGTTTCGGTGAAAAAATAGAGTAAGATCAGCCAAGGGAACGGCATACGGGAGGCAATGGGTATGAACTCCCAGGGTCCTCTGCCATGGGATTCCCACAAGACACACTACAGCAACGAGCTGGGACAATACCTGTGACATCCTGCCAACCAAGGAAGCTTGTCAGAGACTCAGTGCCAATAGGTTGTAATGTATGACTCCCAACAGGCTTTTTGGGAACTAGTCATGTAGACACACTCTGCTTAGCACGTAGTAGGATTCCAGAGCTTCAGAAGGAAAGCAAGTGATCAGCATAAATCACTTTGCACAGGAAGTTTAGTACTAGTAAGCCATTCCAATCCATTAGGGTGGTGGGGAAGTCTGTGTCTCCAGACTGCAAACTCCAGCCAAGGGCCAGACCTGTAAGCCAGCATTGTAAAGACTAACTGGCCTGCTGTTGTATCTTATTTGTGCCCGGCAACCAGCAGCACAGCTTTCAGACCCATGAAGCAAAGTTTGTAGAACCAAAGGGAACTGCATTTAGATTCACCTTTATAATTGGTAGCTTTTAGCTCTCTCAATAAGTGATAGAACGAATAGACTCCCCCCACCCCCCCCCCAAAAAAAACCTCATTAGGGTGTGAAAGATCAGAACACCACCAACCACCTTGACTGAATGTCATCATGAAAACACTATACCCAACAAATAAAATAAACCTTCTCAAGTGCCTGTGGAACATTTACAGAGATAGATAATATGCTTAGTCATGAAAATAAATCCCAGTAAATTTAAAGGAATTGAAATTATGAAGAATATGTTCACTGACCAATATGTTATTAAGTTAAAAAATCAATAACAATAAGATAACCAGAAAATCCCCAAATAGTAGAAAATTAAACAACACTCTGGTCACTAGTAACCCTTGGGTCAAAGAATTCAGAGAGAGATTAGAAAGTGATTGGGACTAAGTGGTATAAGAATATATCAAGATTTGTGGGATGCAGTTAATGCAGCCCTTTGAGGGAAACTTACAACTTTATATAACTACATTAGAAAAGACGAAAAATGCAGGCATACCTCATTTTATTGTGCTTTGTAGATATTGTATTTTTTTTTCCCCCATAAATTGAAGGTTTTTGACAACTCTGCATGGAGAAAGTCCATCAGTGCCATTTTCCCAGCATTTGCTTATTTTATTTCTCTGTCACATTTTGGTAATCTTGCAATATTTCAAGCTTTTTCATTATTTTTATCTGTGTTATGGTGACCTGTCATCAATGATCTTTGATGACTTATTGAAGGCTCAGATGATAGTTGGTATTTTTTAGCAATAAATTGTTTTAAAATTAAAGTATGTACAATTGTTTTCTTAGACACAATGCTACTGTACACTTAATAGATTACAGTATAGTATAAACGTAATTTTATATGCACTGGGAAACAAAAAAATCCTTGTGACTCACTTGATTGCGGTATTCGCTTTATTGTAGTGGTCTGGGACTGAACCCTCTGTCTCTGAGGTCTGCCTGTGTAAAATCAACAATCTCTGCTTTCTCCTTAAGAATATAGACAAAAGGAATAAATTAAAACCAAAGAAAAGAGAAGAAGGAAATAGGAAATATATGGTTAGAAATCAATAAATGGCAAATAATAGAGAAAATCAGTAAAGCTAGAAGTTGGTTCTTTGAAAAGATTAATAATATTGATAAACCTGTGGCAAGACTGATCATGAGAAGAGAGAAGAGACACAGATTATCATTATTAGGAGAGGAAGAAGGGGCATCACCACATATCCTACAGACATTAAAAAGATAATCAAGGGACATTATGAGTAACTATGTGCCAATAAAAATAACTTAGATGAAATGGATAAATTTCTTGAAAAGCACAATTTACCAGAAGTGACACCAGAAGAAATAGAAAATCTAAGTAGCTCTGTATATTTTTTCTTTATTCATTTTTTTCTTAATTTATTTTTAATTGAAGGATAATAACACTATTGTGTTGGTTTCTGATCAACATGGATCAGCCATAAGTATACATATGTCTCTTCCCTCTTGAGCCTCCCTCCCACCTCCCACCCCATCCCACCCCTCTGGGTTTGAGTTCCTTGAGTCACACAGTAAATTCCCACTTAAATAGCCCCATATTTATTAAAGAAACTCAATTCATAATTAAAACATTTCCAAACTTAAATGACTTCACTGTTGAATTTAATAAAATATTAAAGGAAGAAATAATACCAATTGTAGACCAACACTCAGAAAATAGAGTAGGAGGGAATTGTTCTCAGGTGTTTATTTTGAGGCCATCATAACCTTGATACCCAAACTGGACAAGGACATGAAAAGAAAAGTACAGATTGCCATCTCTTATGAATGCTGACACAATTCCTTAATATATTAGGACATCAGATCCAGCAATGTATACAGAAGGTAGGACATCATGGTGGGGTTTATCACAGGAATGCAAAGTTGGTTTTACACACGAAAATCAGCCATGATTAAAAGATTGAGTAGGGAAAAAGTCAAAAGTTCAGTTTAGGTGATCTTACAGATTTGTACAGTTTTAGTTATTTTGAGAATTGATAGCTTTAGATGATAGCAAACTTCCCTGTAAAAGGTGTTGGCTAAAAATATTACATACTAATTTTGAACTCAGATCACTTATTAGTCATTTTAGTATGTTTTTCTTACTTTTTATTTACCTTTTTGGTTTAGTTTCATTTTACCATGAATGTTGATTACTGGGTTGGCCCAAAAGTTCATTCAAGTTTTCCCGTAAAATAATTACAGAAAGACCCAAACAAACTTTTGGACCAACCTAATTCTTTCCTTTGGAATGACTATTTCACTTGGTATTTACTGTGTGTTTGGGGCTGTGCAGGGGACACGAGGGTGACCACCCCCGCCCCCTGCCCCGCCCAACTCTATCTTCATAGCTCCCTGTCTAGCATGAGGAGACAGCTAGAAACCTACCTGAGGAGAGTTGAGCACAGAGTCTCAGAGAGGTGGAGGGGGTGGTCGGGGTGTGGAGGCTGGGAGAAGACCCAGCTCCCGGGTGATCTGGGAGTTGCCTGGTCCTGGCTGCTGGTCACCTCCCTGAGAGCGTGGTGAGGGGGCCAGCGGGGCTGATGGTGGTGCCCTGGGTGGTGCCTGCGGCGAGGGGAGGCCCAGGCCCCGGGGAGGTGTGCACACTGAGCCCCCCCCCCCGCATGGTTTGGTCCCCAGTCCTGAGCATCAGCAGGAGCAGAGTATTCCAGGCTCTTATCCTGGAATCCTCTCATCTCAGGGTCGTAAAAGAGTCAGATATGATTTAGTGACTAAAAACAACAAAAAAGATACATGTAGTCAGGACGATTTTCCTGAGCACCTGGAGCTTCCTTCTGCCTGATTCATTCTCCCAGCGTCCACTCCTGGTTCCTATCCACCCCACTCTGTCTCCTTAGTTCTCAGTTTAGATGTCGTCTTTCAGAGCCCCTTCCCTGGCCGTCTTCTTCAAAGAGCCGACCCACCCATCTTCCCCTGCTCCCAGTTTCATTGTCTTCACATGAGCCCCAGGGATATAGGTTTTGTGTGTTTTATTCCCTGTTGCGTTTCCAGTGCCTAGAACAGTGTCTGGCACAGAGTGAACACAGAAAATAGATGTTTAAATAACATTTATTAAATGATTGCGTGAAAGGAAAGCAGAATTCCTGGTCCTGGATAGACAGTAAGAGCTGCCCTCTTGCCAGGTGCGCTGGTGGTAACAGCACTGAAGACCCAGGCAGAACCCTCTGTAGGTGGTACCGCTGGGCGCAGGGCAGGTCTGTTTAGTCTCTGGTGCCTTGTCAATATCTGTGGTTCTCAAAGATCGGCTTTTCTTTTATTTATATCCTGACCCCAACCCACCCAAATAATTCTGACAAGCTGAGGATTTAGTTTGTGGTTATATTGGGAATGATTTGGCTGTAAATGGTAATAACAAATAACTCCTCCTCACCCCCCACCCCCCAAAAATATCCCAAGTAAAATAGCCTAAGGAAAGATAATTTGTTAACTCACTTAAAGACAGACCTATCGTTAGCATAAGCTTCAGGTGTGGCTTGATCCAGGATCTCATGTGTTGTCACCTGAACTTGCTCTTCCTTGGTTCCACATGGTGTCATGAGTGTCTGTCTCCACAGCTTTGGCTTCTTGTGTGCCTTGCTGGTTCTGGGTGGGACTCCAGAGGTCAAGGGAGGGCCATGGAGAGAGGTCGTCCCTTGGAAGGAAGGGCCTGATACCTAAACCAGGGGATGGATGCTGAGTGGCCCAGTTTCCCCCAGATGGTCCGTCAGCATCTGTGGGGAGACTCGCAACATTAAGGATCCTTCAGGGCCATCCCTTTGTCTCCCAGGGTGTGCTGGAGCTGCTGTCAGAGGTGGGCTGCCACCTGCGCGTGTCTCTCTTCGATGTCACCTATCGGCACTTCTTCGGGAGGACGTGGAAGAGCTCGTCGAGGCCCACAGAGCCACTCAGCAGGCAGCCAGCCAGGATCGTCTTCAATGAGGTGGGTGCAGTGGCTGGCAGGTGTGTGGGTTCCACCCAGACCTGAGGGCACCACCAGTGTACCGCAGACTGCAGGAATGCCCCGAGCAGCAGGCCGAGCTCCCACAAAGCTCATCCTGGCAGCCAGCATCTGTTTCCAGACAGAAACTTGTGTGGTAGTCATGTACCCTGAGTGGATGGTGGCAGGGGGTGGGTGGTGTGGGAGGGCACGTATGTAGGTCTCATCATCTTCATGGAAACTTCCGCCTTTGGCAACAAAGTTAGGAAATTATTGATCTCGTCACAAGTTAGGAAATTATTGATCTCGTCACATTTCCCCAGTTTTCCTCCTCGTTCACTTCCCCCCTTCTTTTTCTTTTTAGTTTAGGATTTTTTTTTTTTTTTTAAGATGAGCAAATTGAGACTTAGAAGTGAGGTGCCTTGCCCAGGTAGAAGGTGGCGGGGCCCGGAGCCCCCGTCTCTGTCTGCAGACTTGCCCACGCAGCAACCCTGTGTCTGGCCACCCTGCAGATCGAGTGTCACATCCTCGTTCAGCTTCACCAAACCCACAAGCGTCTCTTCCAGCGCCTGCTGTCTGCCCGCCATGGGGCCGGGTGCCAAGGCGATGGTGCTGGGTGGATGGGACGGATGTGGTTCTCACCCTGGACAACTTACAGTCTGCTGACCAGGCAGGCGGCAGCAAGGGTAGGTGTGGTGAGTTCTCAGAGGAGACTGACAGCCACTGCCCTGGGGAAGAAGGGGAGACGTAAGCAGGTGGTGAAGGATGGTCTCGGGGAGCTGAGCCTATGGGATGGAGGGAACCAGCTCAGGATAAGTGGAGTGGCAGAAGCTGTGTCCCGGGGTGAGGGGCAGGAGGGCGGCCGAGGGTGGGCTTGGCAGGTAGCTAGCTGGGAGGGGCCTTCCTGAGACAACGGGGTTTTCCTCAAGAGCTGGAGGTGTCCCAGCGGTCTTCTTCCCAGCTGCTCCTTCAAGCTGCACCTGAATGCAGTGGGTCCTGCAGGGAACAGTATTGGAGGGTCGGTGTGGCGCTGACTTTGTTCTTCTCTGCGCAGCGTCAGGGAAGCCCAGTAGGTGACAATACAGTGAGTAACAGCGGTGGTGGTGGTGGCCGCAGCCGTCCTGGGGAAGGTCTCGTACGTGACCAAGCCGAGCGAGCCGCCCTCTTTGTGGGTGATGCTCCTGCCCAGTCATGAAGCCGCCAGGCTTCTCTGCGTTGGCTGTCACCCACAGTCAGGATGCTGTGTGCAGCGTGGATTGATGTTACTGGTCCTTACTGAACGTTCAGGAGAGGGAGATGCTGTGCCCAGAGGTTCAGGGAAATTAGATACAGCCATGGGGACGTATGTCCTGGGGATCAGGACCTTGACTGGTGTGTTCCGGCCATCAGACGGCCCATGCTGAGCCCCTCAGTCTGGTGTCTGAATCTAGAGAGGGGCTGTGTGTTGTAAACCACATGTGACCGTGGGCGGCTGTTTAGGGTGCTGTCCCAGCTTCTGCACTGAGTCACCTTTGCGCCTCTGTCTTGGGGCGGGCGGTTGGGGGTTGCCGAGGCCTGACATGAGTGCAGTGGCCCCAATGTTGCTGGGAGCCTGGCTGGGGTGCTGCCTTCCTGGGCTGGGCTGTTCGGATTCTTTTTCTCTAGTGGACAGTCACGCCCTGGAAAGCCTGGTGTGACAGATACTATGGTGACTGTGTCCTCTTCTGGGGAGTCACCATGGGATGGTTGGCTCCCAGCTTCTTGGGGAGGTTTCAGCCCTGCTATTTTCCTCTGGAGGTCGGTATATATGTCTCTGTCTTGAAGAGCAGTTGGCAGGTCAGAGGCCGTAAGTGACAGACACCTTGACCACAGTGATTGTTCTCGAGCCTTGTTTTAACCTTGGCGCTGGAGGGGCTCTGTAGGTTCTGTTGGAAGTGCTGCTGTGTCGAGGGGATGGTGATCCCCTGAGATCAGCAGAGGAGCACTCTGCCACCACTGGGGTCCCAAGATGAACCCTCCTCCTGTGACCTTCCCCATGACCTTTCCCCACTGCTGTGGTCACCGCCAAGACAGGCCATGTGCGGAGGGCCTGCTGTCACCCCGACCAGCTCGGTGGCTGAGAGCCCTGCAGAGTAGAAGGTGCATTGTAAGAAATGGCCTTCAGAGCTGCTGCTCCACCTTCTGGGCTCATCAAGGGCTCAGCATCCATGCCCGAGAGGGTTCTCAGGTGTCCCCCTATCCTGGGAGCTGTGGGTCGAGGCCTTTTCAGCTCAGTTCATGTCTGATCCGAGCCGTGGGAGCTGAGTGCCGCTCAGTCATTTGGGCTCTGCTCAGCAGGGTGAGGGGACCAGGGCCATGTGTTAGGGAGGACCACAGTCTTTAATGTTTTCAGAAGAATCTGCACCTTTCAGTTACTGATCACAGCGAGGCTAGTGCTGGGGAACAGAGCAGTTCTGGTTGGGAGGGGATGCCAAGGCCCCGGAATTGCTCAGCCAGAGCTGTGTTCAGGTGCTATGCCCCAGGCAGGCAGCAGAGGCCAGTGCTGCCCCAGGAACGGTCCATCCTGCTGGGCCACTTGGCAGCATCCTCCCCACCAGCGCTGTCCTCTTGTCCTTGATGTTCAGAGTTTAGTGAACTACAGAGATTCCGCTTTGCTGTGTGTGTGTCTGTGTGTATACATGGACGTACACGTGCACATGAAATGTGGCGTGTGCCCGGGGTGGCCTGGATATGTGGAGGGTCTGGTAATGGGGTTGTGTCATCTGAGCAAAGCTCTGTGTACACACCTATGGGAATAGAGAGAAACACAATTTGCCCTTTTGAGAGATGATTCTGAAATTTGTGAAGATCTTTTTCTGATTTTACTAATTGCCTGGGCTTTTCTGATTCTTCCCATTGGTTGTGGCTCAGGGGTGATGCGGAGAAGGCAATGGCACCCCACTCCAGTCCTCTTGCCTGGAAAATCCCATGGATGGAGGAGCCTGGTAGGCTGCAGTCCATGGGGTCACTGAGAGTTGGATGCGACTGAGCGACTTCACTTTCATGCGCTGGAGAAGGAAATGGCAACCCACTCCATTGTTCTTGCCTTGAGAATCCTGGGGACGGGGGAACCTGGTGGGCTGCCATCTATGGGGTCGCACAGAGTCGGACACGACTGAAGCGACTTAGCAGCAGCAGCAGCCGCAGCAGCAGGGGTGATGTGACCGAGGTTACCAGCGGCCAGTAGCAGGGGCCCATCTGGAAATCGATGTGGTTGTCTGGTCTCTGTGTAGACTCATGAATCAACCATGAGGGCTCTGGGTTTTGATTGAGTTGTCCTTGTAATGCACAGCCCTGACAGAAGATGTTATTTCATTACTTTGCAAACAATGTCCTGTAGGAAAGACCATGGACGAAAGGAGTCCTGCCTTGAGCCGAGCCGGGTGTTTCTTTCTGGGAGTGATGAATTCCTTATGCCTCTCTCATCCTAGGCTCCCCGCTCTGCCTGGCGGACCACAGGGCACCAGCTCCAGGCCTCTCAGCTCTGAGCTCAGAACTCTGTGTTCTCCTTCGAGGCTGCCCTCGGTGGAGAGGAATCACCCTTCACTTGTGCTGAGATGGTCGATCATTCTTTCAGCCTCTCAAAAGATATCTTTAAAAAATAATCTGAGAGGCCAAAGCACCATGCAGTTCCTGCACTTTCTTTCTGCGATGGACATAATTCTCCCTTAAATTCTTTCCTTAGCTAACCACGCTCAGCCTGCAGTGACAGGCTCATTTTTCCTCCTGTATTTATTTGACTCGGGCCACTGGGTAGGAATCCTAGTGGTTCTTCACAGGCAGACAGAACCCAGATCAAATATGGCACAAGTGAACGTATCTATGAAACAGAGACAGACTCACAGACATAGACAACAGACTTGTGGTTGCCAAGGGGTGTGTGGGGGGCTGGGGGAGGGAAAGATTGGGAGTTTGGGGTTAGCAGATTCAAACTGGTTTATATTTATAGCATAGGGAACTATTGATATATTCAATATCATGTGATAAACCATCATGGAAAAGAATATAAAAAAGAATATGTCATCTGATGCAAAGAGCCCACTCATTGGAAAAGACCCTGATGCTGGGAAAGATTAAGGGCAGGAGGAGAAGAGGGCAGCAGAGGATGAGATGGTTGGATGGCATCACTGACTTGATGGACATGAGTTTGAACAAACTCCAGGAGATGGTGAAGGACAGAGGAGCCTGGTCTGCTGCAGTCCATGGGGTCGCAGAGAGTCCAACATGATGTAGTGACTGAACAACAGCAACAATATATGTATAACTGAATCACTTTGCTATACAGCAGATATTAACACAACATCTGTAAATCAACTCTACTTCAATAAAATTAAAAAACAAGTAGATGCTGTCAAGAAATGTCAGTGTATCCAAGTAAAACTCCAGCAGGCTCTGCCCAGTGACTTGGTTAATCGCCAGGTTCCTGAACATGCCCTCCGCTCTCCTTACCCACTCTCATGTTCCAGGAGCTGCTACGGATGTAAACCATTTGCAAAGCAGGAATCCAGCATGGCTCCAGGGTGCCGTCTTTGCCGAGAGTGCCTGGTCTTAGCCATGTCACCTAGGAGGATTTCTTTCCTGTCTGGCTCAACAGAAACAACTCCTGGGGACCCTGAGCCAGAAATGGGGTGGGGGGGCGGGTATAGAAGTGAGTGAATGAATAGAAGGAGAAATGATATCTCTCCTTAATGTTTCCATAGGGATTTAGTTGTTTGGTGATTGAACTGTCTACCACGTGGGCTTCCCAGGCGGTGTTAGTGGTAAAGAATCTGCCTGCCATTGCACAAGATTTAAGAGCTGCATGTCCGATCCCTGGGTCTGGGAGATCCCCTGGAGGAGGGAATGGCACCCCACTCCAGCATTCTTGCCAGGAGAATCCCATGGACAGAGGAGCCTGGTGGGCTACAGTCTATGGGGTTTTAAAGAGTTGGTCACGACTGAGCGTCTGAGCACATAGACATACATGTGGGGACAATAGAAAGCTTTGAATTTGTCAGCTTCTGTGTATTCATCACAGTCTCCTGAGGCTGTTTTTGCTTTAGGTTGTAACTGGGTTTGCTGTTTCTGAATAAGCCCAGCCATCCTTCTCCAGGTGGGAGTGGGTCTGGCTTTGGCTGAGGGAGTAGGATCTGATGTAAGATGGAAAAGGGCTGAGTCCTGCTCCATCCTTACTCCTGTGGGGTCTTGGGCCAGCTGTTTAAACTGTTGACTCTGAATTCATCATCTGTGCCTGATGGACAGCAGTGTCCACCTCCTAAAGGTCCAGAGGGTAAGTAGTAGGTTCTTCCCAGGCAAGCTCCCAGGGAGCAGTAGGGGCTCACTCAGCAAACACTGGCTGGAGGTCTGCTCTGTGCCTGGCTATTATGTTAGGACCTGGAAATGCCCAGATGGGCGAGATGACGTGTGGTCATTTCAGCCGTGGTGGGGTTTGCGTTGTCACTGTCGACGGGAGCTTGTCAACCCTGGCTCCACAGATGCTTTGAGTCAGATAATGCTCTTGGTGCGGGGGCCGGGGGTGGGGGCAATGTCTCCAGAGCTGTGTTCTTTTCCTGCAAATAATGGCAGGCCCCACCCCAGATGAGTGGAAGCTTCTGACTGGAATTAGAGATTTTGCAACTCCCGGAGAAGAGTTTTGCTCGTGGATTCACTGTGCTTGGAGCGGTCAGTTTTGCGGCCGGTCGTGTGCAGCAAACTGTTCAGAGCCTCCAGTGGAAGGCTGAGCTGACAGACAGTGGCAGCAGACGGATATGTGGTGTATTTACCTTCCTGAAGCTACCCTACTAAAGGTTTACTAAAGAAAATTGTTTGGTGGTCCAGTGATTAGGACACCATGTATCCACAGGTTCAATCCCTGGTTGGGGAACTGAGATCCCACAGGCCGCGTGGTGAGGTTAAAGAAGAGGAAAACAAAATTGTTTGGAAGGTACTAGTTTAATTTCTGCGCCTCTCTCCCGGCCTTGTCCTCAACCTGGGATGGAAGAGTGTGTGTCACTTAGGGCAGGTCGAGCGGCTGGGCAGCCACGGACAAGCCTCTACTCAAATGCCTGTCTTCATCTGAGGCCCAATTTCGATTCTGTCACGTGTGTGAAAAATGGACCCTCAGCCCTGAGGCAAAATGTCGGCATTTTTGAAGATGAAGGCATTAAGACAGGAGCATTTCTGTGATTTATTAACCAGTTTATCCTGTCAGGGGGGCACCTTGTCAAGGGTGGATGAGTGAGCTGTGGCGTGGGGGGACCAGAGCCCCACTCTTCTGTGTCCCACGGCTTCTTTCTAGGTAATTGGACGGGCTTGACTTCAACGTTTAATCCCACAGTGGCAGCTAATACATCTCCAGGTATTTTGCATGGCCGCCGCCAGGCATCCTAACCCTGGAGGGCTTGGTTTTTAAAATATTTATTTACTTGGCTGTGTCGGGTCCCAGCTGCATCATGTGGGGTCTTTCGATGTGGTGCATGGGCTCAGTAGTTGTGCGTGGACTTACTCGCTCTGAGGCATGTGGAACTGGGTCCTCAGTTCTCTGACCAGGGATCGGATATGTGTCCCCTGAATTGGAAGGAGGATTCTTTACCACTGGACCACCAGGGAAGTTCCTGGAAAGCTTGTTAGCAGAACTGCTTGATCGTGCTTGGGATGTCTGACCAAGCCCACGGGGGTGCGGTGGGGGTAGGGGGCCTGGGTTCTAGATGACTGGGCTCCTCTGGGGATCTCCCGGCCAGGTGCCTGAAGGGTTGAAGCCACAGAGTTGCGTGGTTCATCCCCAGGGCTTTTACTTGAACAGAATTTCTGAGCTGGTCAGCCCTGGGCAGGGTGTGTGTTTTCTACCTGCCTAAGCTGACTCTTGAGAAGTCCCTTGGACTTCAAGGGGATCAAACCAGTTAATTCTAAGGGAAATCAGTCCTGAATATTTACTGGAAGGACTGATGCTGAAGCTGAAGTTCCAATACTCTGTCCACCTGATGCGAAGAGCCGACTCATGGGAAAAAACCCTGATGCTGGGAAAGACTGAGGGCAGAAGAAGAAAGGGGTGACAGAGGATGAGATGGTTGGATGGCATCACGGACTCAGTGGACATGAGTTTGAGCAAAGTCTGGGAGATAGTGAAGGACAGGAAAGCCTGGTGTGCTACAGTCTATGGGGTCACAAAGAGTTGGAGACAATTTAACGACTGAAGAACAACAACAAATTAACCTTTACATTTGAACTTCTTGAGGGCTAGATCGTGTTTCCAGGTTCCTTAGAAATTCTTTTTTTTTTTTTTAATGTGGACCATTTTTTTAAAAAGTCTTTATTGGATTTGTTCCAATAAATTGATTCTGTTTTGTGTTTTGTTTTGTTTGACTGAGAAATACATGAGATCTTAGCCCCCTGACCAGGGATCGAACCCTCATCTCTTGCATTGGAAAATGAAGTCTTAACCGCTGGATCACCAGAGAAGTCCCTAGAAATTCTTTAATATGCACGGCGCGCTCATTAGAGAGGCAGTAAATCATGTTTGGAAAAGCATTAGTCCTTACCCATCAGTAGTGAGGGGATGAGGCACTCAGACCCTGTGTTGCCTTGTAACACGGTGAGCTTCCAAGGCTGACCCTGCTGGTGAAAGTGGAGTCTCTGGGACAGACCAGAGTGGGGCTCTGTGGTTAGTTTGGTCTCAGTAATTGTTTGCAGTGGTAAAGGAAGTGGAGAGGCAATAGCCATGAATTGGTATGTGAAAGTCAAATTCGCTTAGTCGTGTCTGACTCTTTGTGACCCCATGGACTATACAGTCCATGGAATTCTCCAGGCCAGAATACTGGAGTGGGTGGCCGTGCCCTTCTTCAGGGGATCTTCCCAACCCAGGGATCAAACCCAGGTCTCCTGCACTGCAGGCAGATTCTTTACCAGCTGAGCCACCAGGGAAGTCCAATTGGTACCTGGGACATGCCCAGAGCAGCTGGCCCTACTGCCTCTGGGCAAAGGATTTCAAGGTGACCTCTAAGCTGGAGGATTATGCCTGCTCTGCATCAGAGCTGACAATGTTTGTTTCACCGCCAAGAAGAAAAGTGGGTAGTGTCCATAAAACTGATATGCACAGGTGTAAATGTGGGAGGTGAGATAATGACAAACTTGACTTTACGGTGGGGCTTTTTAAAACAGTCCTCAAGTCTTGGAAACGGAAACATAATTCTCTCTTGGTCCAACCACCTGTCAGCTGTAAGTGGTCATTATTTCATCAATTTGCAATAAAAGATAATAGAATAACGATTTATATCTCATGGCTGATGTTTTAATGTGTCTCTCTGTTATCCTGGGCTGACAGTCTGTGATTACAGTAAACGTTTTCTTGGTGACACCGTGGTAATGACTCGTTAATGGGGGATTATTCCAAGTTTAAATCACATTGCTGCAGCCCGGCTGGCCAGCCCTGCATTGGGGGGTGGTCTTTGTGCTCAGTTGGTGACCCTACCACCTGGGCTTCACCCTAACAAGGATGCTGGATGCCAGGGACCCCTTGAGTACAGAGCCTCAGTTCAGCACTGACCTGGGCTCCCGGGATGCTTGTTCCCTGAAGATTTGCAAACCCAGTTCGCACCTCCTTTTCTGTCATCTGTGTCTATGATGTTTGTTAGTTTTATATGAGAGTGACTGCACTGGATTTTAGGAGATTGGAAACAGTGGCAGAAGGAAGGTGTTTCTGTTCCCGTGTGGGCATGTGCATCTCAGTGACAGGAGCTGGGTTTGACCCGTCTGTGTCGTCTTTCTCACTCCCTACCCCATGGAGAAGCTACAAGTGGGAAACCTTTTAGTAGCAATTTGAGTATCCTCTGCTTGGCTTGGACCCCTGCCTCAGCAAATCTTGTCTTAAATGTTCTCAAGGCTATATTTGTTATAAACAAAGATTTTTGTTGTTGTTGTTCAGTCGCTAAGTCATCATGTCTGACTGTCTGCGACCCTGTGGACTGCAGCACACCAGGCTTCCCGGTCCTTCACTATCTCCCGGAGTTTGCTCATGTCCATTGAGTTGGTGATGCTATCCAACCATCTCATTCTGGGTTGGAAATGACAGAATGAAATCCTCAGGAAATCCCAGGATATTGCTTAGTTAAAACAGAATTCATTCAGATGCAGCCTCATGGTATTTCCACAGGAAACAGGGATTAGAGTCAGTATTGGCGAGTTGTGATTGAAGTTTGGGCGTTGCATGAAAGGGCTCTGCGGACGTGTGGGCAATGTGGGCGGCTCAGTGGACGTGTGGGTGTGGTGGGCAGTTCACTGGATGCATGGGTGCCATGGGCTACTTACATCTTTGGGCTCATGGTCCTGGCAGGTGACAAGGGTGGGGAGCATGGCTGCCGCAACCCCTTTCCTCTCCAGAGGCTCTGATGTCTTCTGGCATCTTCTGTGGATGAAAAACTCCCAAAGGAGAAGCAAGCAGTCCTGCATCCAGATGCTGGGTGTCCTGGAAGGAGGAGCTGTGACCCCAGGGTCTGTCTCTGAGGGGCTCCCTTCCTGGCCCCTTCTCCTCTCGTGCCTGGAAGGGATGCTGTTCCCCATATGGTGTGTTTGCAGCATTGACATGAGAATAGTGGAGGGTGAGGAGGGAGCCTGCCTGTGTCCCTGAGCTTCCTTCTTGCAGGTCAAGAGTGTTCACTCTGTCCACTTCTCTTTGGCAGCCCTTGTATTTTCACACATCCTTGAACCACCCTCATGTCGTGGCCGTGGTGGAGGTGGTCGTTGAAGGCAGGAGACGAGACGGGACCCTCCAGACTCTGTCCTGTGGGTTTGGAATTCTTCGGATCTTCAGCCCCAAGCCGGAATCTCCAACTTCCACCTCCCAGGACAAACGGTATCTGCCTTGTCTCCTCAGTTGTTAGGGTTCCCAGCATCTCTCTGTGGTGAATTAACGGCTCATTCACAATAGGAAGCTCTGAATTTGTCAGTTTGTGTGTGTTTATCACAGTTTCCTGGGGATGTTTTTGCTTCAGGTTGTAACTGTGTTTTCTGTTGCTGTGTAAGCCCAGCCATCCTTTTCCAGGTGTGAGCAGGACTGGCTTTGGCCAAGGTGGTGGGATCTGATGTAAGGAGGATAAGGGCTGAGTCCTGCTCCATCCTTACTCCTGTGGGGTCTGGGCCAGCTGTTTAAACTGTTGACTCTGAATTCATCATCTGTGCCTGATGGACAGCAGTGTCCACCTCCTAAGGGTCCGGAGTGTAAGCAGTAGGTTCTTCCCAGGCAAGCTCCCAGGGAGCAGTAGGGGCTCACTCAGCAAACACTGGCTGGGGGTCTGCCATGTGCCAGGCTCTGTTGTGTTAGGACCTGAACGTGCCCAGATGGGTGAGACGGTGTGTGGTCATTTCAGCCATGGTGGGGTTTGCGTTGTCACTGTAGATCGGGGCTTATCCACCCTGGCTCCATGGACACTTTGGGCTTGGTATGCCTTTGTTACGAGGCTGTCCTGAACAATGTATGGTTTTACAGCCCATGAGATGCCAGTAGCCCTCTCCCTGCCCAGCTCTGACAGCCAAAAACATCTCCAGACTTTACCAGTTGCCCCAACGGGGCAAAATCCTCCCTGGTTGGGAACCATCACTCTAGACACACAGCCGTGGAAGCCCCTCAAAAGTTTCAAATCTTGGGACGCTTTCAGGCACAAGCCACTCCTCAGGCATTGTTTCTGGTGCCCTTGCTCAGGCTGCATTCAGACCATGCAGTGTGTACTCTGGACAAACTTGCCCACCAGCGCTGTGGGCTCATGGAGCCGATGCTGTGCTCAGGCGTCCCTGTTTCCCGCAGAGGGTGGAGGAAGCTCCCAGAGGGGTGGAGCGGAGGTCCCCACAGGCCTTGCTTTTGAGAAGCATAGCTGGGGTCCTGTGACTGAATGCAAGGTGCTGATGTGCGGCTCCCGCGTCTTGTTTTGCAGGCTGAGACTGTATCACGGGAGCCCGCGAGCCCTCCTCCACCCGCTCCTTCAGGACCCCATAGAACGTAAGAGACGCGGTCTGGCCGGGCCTCCACAGCACCTGCTCATCATGTCACTTCCCTGAGTATTAGAGCGTCACCAGCTTAGCTCAGGTGTTAATAGATCTGAGGAACGTGTAATGTGGGCTTGGAGTCTGATATAATTTAAAGACCCGGGGACTTCCCTGACGGCCAAGTGGTTGGGACTCTGTGCTCCCACTGCAGCGGCTGAAGGTTCCATCCCTGATCGGGGAACTGGGATCCTGTGTGCCAAGTGGTGCAGCCAAAAATTAAAAAAAAAAACAATGAAAATTTAAAGACCTGAGACATACGAGCCTGAAGGAAGCACATAACTTTGTGAGGGTGACCCCATGGGGTCCACCTGGAGGGAGGGCTGCTGGCCCCCCGGCCTCTGGGTAGCAGCTTTGCCCCCACGTGAGTAGTTGCTGTCGAACATGGTCACCGGCTGTCCCTGGAAGCCTCTGACCAGAAAGTGCATGGGTTGTCTCCAGCACAGCAAGGTATCCAGTGGTGCCAATTACAAGGACATCCTGCAGGAGCGCCTACTCTGTATGGACTCAGCGCCAAGTGGCCGCCTTAGAGCAGTGGGGGCTTCCTGCCTGCCTCTGTGGCTTCTCCTGCCCCCCCCACCCCAGCACCCAGGGTGCTCCTGGGAGAGACGTGAGGCGCCCCCTGGCTGCTGGCTGTGTGGAGGGTGGACGGAGGGGTGCCCGGTGAAGCAGAGGATGGGCTGACAAGCCATTTCAGGGGCCTGGTGTGGGGCTCTTTTCTGACCTGGGGGATGTGAACAGGGTTCTAGCAGTGGAGGTGGATCTGTTTGGGGACAGTGGGGGCGGGGGTGACTTTCTGTCTCTGAGATGTTGCCTGGATTCCATGGTGGGAACTTGGTGTCTGCCTACCAGCCTGTGTGAAATCCTGAGCCTCCTTCCACTTCCTGAATTTGGTGAAAATCTCATGATCGAGGAACAGTTGGTCAGAAACTTAGCTTAATGATAAAGACTGGCTTTTAGTGTTAGTTGCTCAGTCGTGTCTGACTTTGCAACCCCATGGACTGTAGCCTGCCAGGCTCCTCTGTCCATGGAATTTTCCAGGCAAGAATATTGGAGTGGATCAGTTCAGTTCAGTTCAGTTTCTCAATCATGTCTGACTCTTTTCAACCCCGTGGACTGCAGCACACCAGATTTCCCTGTCCATCACTAACTCCCGGAGCTTGCTCAAACTCATGTTCCATTGAGTCAGTGATGCTATCCAACTATCTTGTTCTCTGTTATCCCCTTCTCCTCCTACCTTCGATCTTTCTCAGCATCAGGGTTTTTTCCGATGAGTCAGTTCTTCGTGTCAGGTGGCCAAAGTATTGGAGTTTCAGCTTCAGCATCAGTCCTTCCAATGAATATTCAGGACTGATATCCTTTAGGATGGGCTGGTTTGATCTCCTTGCAGTCCAAGGGACTCTTTAAGAGTCTTCTCAAAAGCATCAATTCTTCAGTGCTCAGCTTTCTTTATAGTCCAACTGTCACATCCATACATGACTTCTGGTAAAACCATAGCTTTGACTAGATGGACCTTTGTTGGCAAAGTAATGTCTTGGCTTTTTAATAAGTTGTCTGGGTTGGTCATAGCTTTTCTTCCAAGGAGCAAGTGTCTTTTAATTTCATGGCTGCAGTCACCATCTGCAGTGATTTTGTAACCCAAGAAAATAAAATCTGTCACTGTTTCCATTATTTCCCCATCTATTTGTCATGAAGTGATGGGACTGGATGCCATGATTTTAGTTTTTTGAATGTTGAGTTTTAAGCCAGATTTTTCACTCTCCTCTTTCACTTTCATCAAGAGTCTCTTTAGTTCTTCTTCTCTTTCTGCCATAAGGGTGATGTCATCTGCATATCTGAGGTTATTGATATTTCTCTTGACAATCTTGATTCCAGTTTGTGCTTCGTCCAGCTGTGCATTTCTTATGATGTACTCTGCATATAAGTTAAAATAAGCAGGGTGACAATATACAGCCTTAATGTACTGGAGTGCATATTCATTCCCTTCCCCAGGGTTTCTTCTCGAACCAGGGATCAAACCAGTGTCTCCCACATTGCAGGCAGATTCTTTACTGTCTGAGCCACCAGGGAAGCCCTTTTAGGTTATTTCCCAGTTGAATTTAATCATCAACTTGCCAGCATTTTCTCTCCTGAAGTATCCTTAGACTCAGCAACTGTTAAACAGCAAGCAGCACCCACCTCCCCGTCCAGGCCCATTTTAGGACCACTGTTCTGGTGGAGGGTATGGGGGCTATGGTTGTATGAGGGGCCTGAGGAAGGACAGCCACAGACTGACAGCTCATCCTCTCAGGGGGCATTTCCAGAAATGTGGGATATTTTTCTTGACTGGGTGATGCACTCACATAATCCAGAATTCAAAGTATGAAACAGTGTGAGAAGGTTCAGGTGAGGTCTCCTCACCCCTGTGCTCAGCTCCTCGCCTGCATCACAGGTGATTTCCTCTCTGGGGTCTTGTGGGTCCTTCTGTGTCTTCTGATAACACATGAGCAAATGTGCATGCCCGTGGTCCTGTTTTTGCCCCCGTCTAGTCGTTCTAGACCTTTATTTTTCCCTTTAACTGTTTATCTTGAAGGGTGTTTCATATCAGCACTAGGAAGCATGCTCACTCTTTCTACCACTGGGTGGCATTTAGTTGAATTGCTGTTTGTGACTGAACCACCCCCCGCCAGACAGACACTTGGAGCTCTTCTATAGGAGCAGAGGGTTGAAGGTGCAGTGAACATTTGCCCTTTTGTGAATGTGCACGTGAATCCGTAGGGTAAATTCCTGGAAGTGGGATTGCTGGTCTGGGGGCCCCTCCACGTGCAGTTTTGTATTATTTCCTCTGTTTGCCCTCCATGGAGGTTGTACCAATGTGTTCTCCAGCCAGCCATGTAGCAGAGTGCCTTTTAGGGCATTTAACATCTTACAGTAAGCAGATCCCGTGTGTGGAGTGGTGAGATATTAAAAATGCAATTTTCAATAATACAGCTTTATTTTCTAATGAATGTACATTTAGTTCTTATGAAATCACTTAGTGTGCCTCAGGGGGTGGTGAGTCCCCTGTCAGTGGAGGAAATCAAGCAGTAGCAAGATGCACCATTTGGTGGCCATGTGTTGAGGGCGTGTCTGTGTCCCCCTCAACCCCAGGCCCTGTGGCCCTGTGCCCAGTTTCTGCTGACGCCTTCCCTTCACCTCCCTGAGAACTCTGTCTGAACTCTTCCCAGCGGTTCCTTTCTCAGGACACTCTCCTTCTTCCCACTTCCCCAGTGTGTTATCCAAAATTTTCTTGGGGTTTGGATCCCATTCTCCCATGTGTTACAGGTGTCAGTAGGCTTGTATCTTAGTCACCTCAGGCTTATGTCCTCTTAGAGGACAGGACTCTGTCTTGGAGGTTGCTGGCTGCCCAGTACCTAGTCCTGCTGCTTTATGGGGATCAATGAATGCGAGGCTGAGACTGAAGAAGAGATATTCTTGTCAGAGTGCCCTCCAGGGTCCCTCTGATCGTGGGAGCGAGCCATACCTGACTTCACTGCTCAGGGGAAGAAGTGAGTCCAGAGATTCTATTATGTCAGATCAAAAACAGGTGTCTCTTTCATTGCAGTTTTACCAAAGAGAGTTATTAAGGGTTGATTCTTTTTTGCTCTTGGCTGAACGAACAGAGCAATTCCCCTCTCTCCCTAGAAAAATACTTTTCCTGTTTGTCTGGCTCTTTCCCAAGATGCTGAGCTTATTGGCTGGTTTGACTGAAGGTGCCTTGGTTTCAGCTGTCACAGGAGGTGTTTTCTCCCCCAGAGAACAAGCACATGACCCTCATTGAGAACTGCAGCCTGCAGTACACGCTGAGGCCACACCCACTTCTGGAGCCCGTGTTCCACCTTCTTCCCGAGAACCTTCTGGTGTCCGGTCTGCAGCAGATACCTGGCCTCCTTCCAGCTCACGGAGAATCAGGTGAGGACTCTTCTGTTTCTGGTCACTTGATGAGTCTCTGTTAGGTTAGATCTTGTAGGAACTGGGCTGCATGGGGTGCGCGCTGGTTGGGTGCCTCCGGCTAACAGCCCAGTGGTGGTGGGGGAGAAGGAGGGGGAAGTGGGGAGGAGGAGGAGGGTGGCTGTGTCTCTCACTGGCGCTCCCTTCCTGAGCATCCCTTGCATCCCTTGGGTCCTCCCTGCCTTCTCTCCTCGGGAAATGGTCTCATAAGGCAGATAGCTCATGTCTTTACGACCATGACCAGGAAAACCACTGTTGCTGGATCCCACCCGTGCTGGACCGCCATATGAGTGGCTTGGTTATTGTAACATCTTAATTGTGGTAAAATAGGTATAATGTAAAACTTACTATTTTAGCCAGTTTTAAGTGTGTAGCTCAGTGGCGTTAAGTTCACTCGCACTGTTGTGCAGCCATCCCCCCATCCATCTCCAGAGCCTTTTCACCTTCCCCAACTGAAACTCTGTCCCATTAAATACCAATTCCCCACCTTTCTGCCCCCTCTGCCCCCCACTTCCAGCCTCTGCCCCCCACCATTCCACTCTGTCCCTATGAACTGACTCCTTTAGAGACCTCACAAAAGTGGAATCCTGCACTTCTGTCAGTCCTTCCGTGACTGGTTTATTTCACTTGGCATAATGTCCTCAAGGTTCATCTGTGTTGTTGCATGTGTCAAAATTTCTTTTCTTATTAAGGCTGAATAGTACCCCATTGTATGAAAGGACCACCTTTTGTTTATCCATTTACCTGTCCACTGACATTGGGCTGGTCCACCTTTCGACTTGCGAGTGAAGCTGCTTGGTTACTTTGGAAGTGAAATCCATGGGACAGGCTCAGGGCTGTGACTTGGTGTGATTTAGGAGTTGATTCTCCTGGTTGATAAAGGTCAGCCCTTCACAACCATGAATCCCTCTGGGGGCTGATCTGCATTTAGCTTCTACTGATGGGCTGCACCTCCTTGGCCTCCTGCTCCTTCTGGGCACTTCTGGGGGCTTTTTCCTGGCTGTCTGGAAGAATCTAGGAGAAGGGACTGCGCCAGCCTTTCCCACCTGGTGCCGCTGGAACCTCTGTTTTTTGGGGAGCTGGCTCCCTGCTCCATCCAGGAGAGGCAGGATGTGGCTTTGGGTGTGAGCAGCGGGGAGGAAAGGTGGGAGGTGCCGTGTGTTTGGCTCAGAACAGAAACACCCAGGACCCAAAGAGGAGGCTCAGCTCCAGGAAGGAGTGTGTGTCTCAGCAACGATGTCTGTGCACGTGGCCTGGGTGCTGGGGTCTAGGCTGGGCTGCAGACCTTGTCATCTGAGGTCACGAACTCCTGGGACGGGTGTATGGTGGTTGTCACCATCCTGAGCTCATTGTTTCTCCAACGTCTCAGAGACCAGATGATGATATATCAGAAATGACCAATTAACCATGAACAGGAGCATGTTCTTGTGTGTGTGTGTGTGTGTGTGTGTGTTCCAGGTTCGGATCTGTACTGGATCACTGAGCCCTAACCCCCGTCCCTGCAGCACCCCCTCTAAGCAGCCATGTTGCCCCCTGTGAGGCGCCTGTGTTTAGCCCAGAGGGAGGAGTAGTAAGAGTTACAGGCTGGAGAGATCACCTAGTTGTGCTGCAGGACTGAGTGATGGAAATGCGACACCTACATCGGGATCTAAGCCCCGCCCCGCCCCACCCACTGGTCTGGGAGGTGCGGCCGGCATCCTCCTGTGGGCACCTTCAGGAAGTAGGAAGTCAGCGGATGAGTTTTTCTGACCTGGGATTCTGGATGTTTAAGCAGAATGTTCTTGGGGCCTGATGTGCATCTGTCACCAGCGGGGGTCAGTAGAACTGCAGCTAAAACATGAAGATACAGAAGCGAGTGCGGACCGGCTTCTGTGTCCGTCCTGGGAGGCGCAGGAGCATCTCAGGGGCCTAGACAGGCCCCTGTTTGTCTCAGCATCTCAGGTCGGGCTGGAGGGGTAAAGGGCTGCATCATGGAGAGGAGTTCTGGATTCAAGGAGCTTGAGTTCAGCTCCTGACCCTGAGTTCGCGTTTTTGGACGAGCTGAGCCCCCTTGGCCTCCAGTTTGCCTCTGATGTGGAGTGGCGGGCACTGGGGCCTTTGATGGATGCAGGTGGTGCCTGTAAAATGGCAAAAATGAAGAACAATTCATGTTGTTGTTTAGAAACAAATGACCAGAATGCGCGTAGCAGGTGGGTGGGAGCTGTGCTCACTCCTCTGAGGGAGAGGGGACCAGGGCAGCCTCCTCTCCAGTCCCCAGACCACCTGGGAGCAGAGACCCTCTTGCTCAGCCCCCATGCGCAGCCTCCCAGGCACCCAGCCCACGTTCTGACAGCGGCTATTGTTTCTGTTACAAATTCTGCACAGGATCTCATGGGCTTTTGTGACTCACTCTTGAAAGAGTTGTTTTGCTGGATAGTGTTTTACGGCCCTGAGGGGCCCAGGCAGGGGCTGGTGCTGGCCTCAGTGGTGGGAATCACTTGTCTAATTTGCCGAGGGCTTGGTTTTATTTTGATGTCGTGATGGGACTTGGCTATTTGTTCATTTGTAAAATACCGCAATCTGGGAGAAGTGAGTTGCTTTCACTCTGTTTTTTTTTTTAAATTTTTAATTGGAGGCTAATTGCTTTACAGTGTTGCATTAGTTCCTGCCGTACAACACTGTAAGTCAGCCGTAAGTGTATACATATCCCCTCCCTCTTGAGCCTCCCTCCGACTCCATCCTGCCCCTCTATGTCGTCACAGAGCACCGGACTGGGCTCCCTGTGTTATATAGCAGCTTCCCACTAGCTATTTATTTTATGCATGGTAGTGGATATATGTAAGTGCTAGGAGTGGGTTGTTTTCAACTGAAATGTAGATGGAGGTCACTGTAGGTTCACATGTGGTTTTCATAAGTGTGGTAGCTGCTGGAGGTTTGGCTGGCAGGGTTGGTGAGGGGGTGCCCCAGAACACTGTGCTGGGCCGTCAGTGCAGGGGTTCACCGCTGCCTGCTGCCCTGCTGGGCCCTTGTGCTGTCAGTCATCTCTCCTCTCCTGCTTGGCCCGGCTCACTGCCCTCTGCTCCCCGGGAACCCATCCTCCCTCCCTCCTGTATCTCGAGCATGGGCATGCCAACTCTGTGCTGGTGCGGGGCTGTCCCCGGCCTGACCCGCCAGCTCACTGACCCCAGCCCTGCTTTCTCATCTATTGAACCGAGCTGGGCAGAGCTTTCCCGAGAACTGACCTGCAGGCTTGCCACGTGGTGGTGACCCCTCTTGACTGGTGTGTCCTTGGGCCAGCCCTCCACCTACTGAGGTGCCTCCCCAGCCCCAAACTGCTGATGCTGCACTTTCACAAACAACATATGGGTCCTGGGAGGAGCCCTGTGCCCCAAGCCTGAGCACCTTGTGTACTGATGGGGTTCTCCCACCAGGCTTCTCAGGTCGAGCTGACTGCCCACCCTCCGGAATCGGGCTATGTGTCTTCTAAGTTCCTGGATAGTGACTTCGATCCTCTGCAGTGAGGGAGTGACCAGGGACAGGGCTGTGCTCCCTGAGGCTGCTGTGGGTCAGGGGCCAGTGCGCTACAGCTTCGATTCTGGTCCTTTGCTGAGGACAGTTAAAATGACAGAATTAATCTTTATCCAATAAATTCATAAAACTAAAAGTTTTCCCTTCCAACCTCGCTCCCCAGAGATAACTGCTGCTAGTAGGTTGGTGTATACCTTTTATATAGTAACTGATTTACTGAATACTCAACATGTATTTGTAGAGTAGGTCCTGTGGGCGGCAGGCCCCGTGCTGGGGCTGAGGTTGCACCCTTGCGCTCCAAGTACAGAGTTAGTGCATCCTTCCTGGGTGAGGGCCAGCCTCAAGTCCAACCTCGGTCTTCACAGGCCATAGAAGGTGTTTTAGAGCAAACCTGGGGCTTCCTAGGTAGCCCAGTGGTAAAGAACCTGCCTGCCAATCAGGAGACTCAGGAGATGCAAGTTTGATCCCTGGGTTGGGAAGATCCTCTGGAAGAGGAAATGGCAAACCCATTCCAGTATTCTTGCCTGGGAAATCCCATGGACGGACAGAGGAGCCTGGAAGTCTACAATCCATGGGGTTGCAAACAGTCTGACATGCTGAGCATTCATGCCATCTAGAGCAAATGTAGACCAGCTCAAGTTCATTTACGTTCCTGTCTAAATTGTTCCTAAATTTCATTTTCATTTTGTTGCTGCTGCTGCCATGTTTTCTCTGTCTTGGGAGTTGTGTTCTGGTGAATGAAACACCCTCGGCAGGGGAGCTACGTCCCTGGGAGCCTGAGGTCCTCTGATGGGGGCGTGTTACCAAGCGCTTCCTTGAAGGATGTCTCTAGGGAGGGGTTCTCACCGTCTAGTTTTCTCTGCGCTGTGTTCAGGGGAGTCTCAGGAGAAAAGGCATCGTTGAGAAGTAGGAGCAGGGCTGCCCCTTGTGTCTGTGCTGGCTGCTGGTGCTGCTTGAAGGAGGGAACGACAGTGTCAGGCGGTGAAGCTGTGCCCGTGGGTGGTGCTGGCATGCTGGGAAAGTGCCCGGGGGCTGTGATGGTAAGCAGGCTCCACTCTGGCCCCACGTGACCACTCCGAGCCTCTGCTGTGGCCAGTCTCGTCTGTAAAATGGGGACACTGTGAGGACCTGCCCAGAGAGATGTGTTTGGGGAGCAAGTGAACTGGGTCAGTGAAGCCCTGCCCTGGGCACGCGGGATGTGCCTGGCAAGGGTGAATGGCTGCTCTTTGGTCTGGAATGTTCTGTCTTGAGTTGAGTTGGGTTGGCTCCTTTGTCATGGTCCCCCTGTGGCTGCTTCAGGGCGTCTGGGAGGTCTGATCTGTCTCATGTCAGAGGGCCCCTCGGAGCTGTTCTTTCTTTGGTTGTGGCTTCTGGAAGTTTGCAGAACAGGTCTCTGGCCAAGCTAGGCTCAGAACTGGGCCTCTTGCATTGGGTCGGCTCTGGGTTTCCTTCTG